GTACATAATGTTTACCTGTTTCTTACTAAAACATCTTAACAATGTCTAGAATGCCAACTTGTAGCTCTATAAATCTGTCTAACTGTATGTACTACTAGCTTTAGGAACCGACCTAATTGTACAACCTTTAGATTTCTGCCTAACTGTACTAGCTCTAGAAACCTGCCTAATAATACAAGCTGGACAAACATGCCTAACTGCATAAGCACTAGGAATATACCTAACTAACGAGTGTGAAGATAGTAAACAATTTGATTCAAGTACAATTGACGTATGATTGACATACGATTGGTGTACATGTATGATTAAAATATCTATAATTCACACAAATGTTTATATATAGCAATTTTTGTGTGCATGGTAATAAATAGTCCCACAGTCACAGGTTCAAACAAGTATAAAATAGCCATAAAAAACATAAGAAATGCATAAATATGTTTAAAAGAACATGATCCTATGTAAAAAAATATAGTCTCAAACAAAGACGTGGACAATGTTTTTATTTATGTTTATTGCCCTTCGACCTTCTTCAGTGCATTTGTAGATGCGTCAAGGAACTGTCATGCGCACTATGAAAGTATTTATAACCTTGACTTCCATGGAAAATACTAAATTGATTCTTATTTTTCTGCACAAAAATATTGTTAAATTGGCTGAAATTTCTATATAATTTCAATTATAGGTATTTCAATCGCACACCAATCGTACACAAATGAAACCATATGCTGTTTTCACACTCGTACCTAACTATTGGGTCCATGTATGAAACTGCCAAACAGTACCAACTTCACGTGAACACATATGCAACATTTGAGAAAATATTTCCAACAAAAATGGCTTAAGGTAGAAGCCTAGTCATATTTTTTGACAAAATTAGCAAGATTTTGAGATATTGCATAATATCTCTTCCATTGGAACCTGTGGTAAAAGTGTTATAATAGTGTCAAAATGGTGACTTTCCACTAAAATACAACCATCAATTTCTCGAAAAAAAGGCTGGTGACCCCCAACTTTTTTTATGTCAATATCCTTATATTGCCTTGGAGTACAATTTATTGCAAAATGAATAAATTCTGTTTTTTTTTTAATTTATGAGTAGGTCTCTACCTTAATTTATTAGAATTTTGTTTTTTCCAATTTATTTAAATGTTTTACTCT